TAAAAGTGCCTGTGATTTCCTCGACTGGGTGCGCACTGCAGTCGTTAATGAATTCAGCCGTGTCGGTAGCGTCGTCAGCTATGATAGCGGCAACACCTGTGTCGTCAGTTTCTTCATCATCATCGCCTTCACCCAAGGAACTACCTTCCCTGTATCCTGTGCCAACACTAGAACCAGAAACGACAGCATTGTCATCAATGTCTACCCCATGTCCCCGTTGGGAGGCGTTTTCATTTATGCTAATTTGGTCTGTGTTTGCTTGATCTTCCTCCGTCTCTGGCTGAAGCTTTTTCCTAGTTACTGGTCTCATCAGTGCCCCTGCTGCAACAATGTGGAGGTTGATTGCCGCTGTGATTAAAATAGATCCCTTCCAGCCATACTGATCAATGAGGTATGTAATCAAAGGGGGGTAAGCCAGTTGACCACAGCTGATCCCAGCCAATGCAATTCCAACGGCAAAGCTGTACCTTTTGTGAAAGTATAGAGCCAACGCTTGCATTGCTGAGACAAACACCATGCTGATGCCAAAAGCTAGAGGTAATAAAACAAAACTTGACATCAACTAGCAAAAAAAATTTAAAGAAAAAATTTAGCTGCAATCCCAAGAACACCGTATTACAATAACAAGACTTTAAATCGTCTGGGATTGGAACATAATGTGGCGTCAAACTCTACTAAAACAAAAACAATTATCATCTGGAGCAACGAAAATGTAAAACCTTACTCGCAAAGCATGAATTCCTCTTGCTAAATTACCGGAGGCATTTTTTCATGTCAAACTAATAAGATAAGTTTTACATTTTGGTCGACTCGACACCGCAACTGCCACAGGAACTGAGAGATCTGTCTGAGGAAATTTACCTAAATGGGGTGGGCACAAAATTCAGATCTTACCCGATACTAAATTGACTACAATCAGGTAAGCGATGGATGGAGATAGTGACAACAAGGCTGCTCCTCCCGATGCCATCAGCCCACCCATCATCGTCACGACACGAGGTCCATATCTGTTGCACAGTGCACTTGCTAAGGGACCTTCACCATTGATGACATTCAGGTGAAAAAAACAAGTTCGTTATATCCTGTGTACTTTAAGACGATCCATAAATATTGTAAGAATAGATTTTGAGAATATGAATAACCTTTCGATAAAATGAAGATCCGTCTTCAACAGTTCTTGAGATTATTTAAAGCTACTTTGGAAACGGTCAGCCTTGAGAGGAAAATGACTACTCTAATCAGATTTGCCGGCATCACTGTATACTTACTGAGAATTCCCCTCCAAAGCGTACTGATGGATATGACTAAGCCTGTGGTCGCAGAACTGGCCTCAAAATAGTCCATCCACACAGGTAGATAAACACTTAAGGACATAGTGAAACCTAGCGCGTTGAAATACACCAGGAAGGCACCGCACAAAACCACCCATGCCCAGCCCGTGTTGGTCTTGGGTTCCGCTGTCTGTTCCGATTCTTCGGTTTGTCCATCCTTGTCGGTAGTAGGTACTTCGGCTGTCTGCCCTGACTCCTCAGTTTCTTCCCTCACCGATGAAGGCTGGGCCGTCCCACTACTAGCTCGATGGGAATCCATTTTGGATATAAACTAAGACAGACGGTTGTGTTTATCCAGAACACTATACTCACTATGCTGTGCGCATTTGAATTAATCGAGGGTTCAGTGCTGATACATCAAGTCAAACGTGTTGAATAATTACATCATTATCATTTGGAAAGATCATTTTACATGCTGCATAGCATGCAGTAATACCAACTTGACCTTCAAACATTGGACTTTTCGCGCAGAACCTACGCACGTGATACCTCCAAATGACAAATCACTGACTTGACATAACCTTTGTTTTCAATTTTACGTGGCGAACTTTATTACTAAATTAGTATTTAGCAAATATATAAATGACGAAACAAATGCAGACAAAACAAATACTGAGGACAAAACAAACAGATATTGGAGACATTTATTGATTGTATCTCTGCAGTACAGAGTATTTAACCTTGTCCACTGTATACAACAACGAACGGCAGGCTCTTCGAGACCTCCGTCAAAGAACAGACATCATCATCAAGCAAGCAGATAAGGGTTCGGCTGTAATAGAAAAGTGGGGGGGCGCTATTACATAAATTAGGTTTACCGACAATTTGATTATCACTATTTCTGTTAAAAATTTAATCCCACTCTCAAATATATCAAATTAGTCTCTAATACAATTAAAGTTCCTAATGATATCGAAGACCTTAAGAAATTCAAAAAGACAAGGGGTCTAAACACTATCCAACTGTCGCATGGCATAATTCTATCTACTCCCTAAAATTCATCCGCAAAAAAACCATAGTTGTACTATCATTTCTAGCAAAACAGCCCAGAGGAAAACATTTTTAATTCATCATCTAAATCACTTTAAACAGCTATTTTGCAAATCGTTTTCTTACATTAGGACACAATTCATTTTTAATGCAAAATAGACAACATAAATACATCTGCCCTCTTTCACCTAACACACTCCTTGCCTCTCAAGATGTCTTGATAGACCAACATGGCTCATGGCGAAGGAACTACAACACGCACTGCAATTCTAAGCATTCGCACATCACAAACAAAACCCAACTTTCACAGAAACAACCAAGAACTTATTCAACTCATACTCACATAAAAAACTTTCAGTTCAATCATTATCTTCAGATTCAAGGTACAGCCATTGGCACCGTAATGACGGTGCCAATGGGTCAGCTTGAGGCTCAACTCCTTGCCAATTCTCCACACAAACCTCTCTGTTGGTGGAGAT